GTAGTATTTTTAGTAAGAAGCTAAGGTCAAGAACAGGGGGGCAAAACTTCAGACTAGCATCCCATTTAGTATACTATGTCCAGTTCTGACAACCTCATTTATAAAAAGATATTTATAGGATCAGTGCAACTTGCACTTGAAGGAGAACATGGAGGATGGAGGAGAAAGGTATGAACAAGGCCCAGGAGGGCAGTATTTTCAGTAGGAAGCTAAGGTCAAGAACAGGGGGGCAAACGGTTTAGAATACCACGTCCAGGGGCGGACTGACAACTCATGGGGCAATTGGGGATCATGGGGCCCCTGTGTCCTTGCCCACACTCAAAACACACCCAAAAAAGCCTATAAAAGGTATCAGGGGCATTTTATGGGGCCCCCTACTGACCCTGGGCCCTTGGGCAGTGCCCGAGTGCTCGAATGGTCAGTCCGCCCCTGACCACGTCTGGTTCTGAAGATCTTATAAAAAAGATATCTATAGGATAGAGCAAGGCAATAAAAATGGTGCAAGATCTGAGAAATTAAACTTTTCAGGTGAGACTTGGAAAATAGCATGAAGGATGGAAGAGAATGGGGGGACATGACTGAAATCTTTAAATTCTGGTGTGAATAAGGCCCAGGAGGACCCAGGAAGCTAATACTAAGAACAGGGGGGTGGGGAATTTTTAGAATACTGTGTCCAGTTCTGGACACCACATTTGCAAAAAGAATATACGAATAGACGAGTCAACAAAAAATGGTTTGAGAGCTAAAACATTTCAGGAGAGACTTGAAGAATAGTGTGGGGGCCAGCAGGAAAAAAGATGGGGGGCATGACTGAAAATGTTAAAAGAGATGTTTGGTATTACAAACTCACCTTGGTGGATGCAGCATTGGTCCAGTGCTTCATCTGTGCCCTGCCGCCTTTAAGACCTAGAACTGAGTAATCAAAGACCTGATCAGCTCTCAGTCTTCGGTGAGCAGAGAGCCAATGACTGTCAGTCACCAGCTCTCTGCTCTGCCCCTTCAGCGCTCACTAGAGCGCTGGGCTGTGCAGGGATGGGAGTGGCTGGCTCAGGCTCTCAGCAGCACACTGAGAGGCTAAGCCAGCTGCCGGTCAGGAATCTGGGCGGATCCCTGATTTCAAAGTTGGGATGCCTTCAGAGCCTAGATCGGCTCAGCGACGTTGGCGGACAACCAGCTTTTACCCGCTATCAGCTGAGAACAGGTCACTAGAGCGCTGGGATGTGCAGGGATGGGACTGGCTGGCTCAGGTTCTCAGCAGCAGACTGAGAGGCTAAGCCAGCTGCCGGTCAGGAATCTGGGTGGATCCCTGATTTTAAAGTTGGGATGCCTTCAGAGCCTAGATCGGCTCAGCGACGTTGGCGGACAGCCAGCTTTTACCCGCTATCAGCTGAGAACAGGTCACTAGAGCGCTGGGCTGTGCAAGGATGGGACTGGCTGGCTCAGGTTCTCAGCAGCAGACTGAGAGGCTAAGCCAGCTGCCGGTCAGGAATCTGGGTGGATCCCTGATTTTAAAGTTGGGATGCCTTCAGAGCCTAGATCGGCTCAGCGACATTGGCGGACAGCCAGCTTTTACCCACTATCAGCTGAGAACGGGTCACTAGAGCGCTGGGCTGTGCAAGGATGGGAGTTGCTGGCTCAGGCTCTCAGCAGCACACTGAGAGGCTAAGCCAGCTGCCGGTCAGGAATCTGGGTGGATAACTGATTTTAAAGTTGGGATGCCTTCAGAGCCTAGATTGGCTCAGCGATGTTGATGGACAGCCAACTTTTACCCGCTATCAGCTGAGACGGGAGTGCTGAACAAATTGCACTCCTCTGATCCATAAGAGAAGTAGGGTCAAAAGAGCTTTGACTCTACTTCTCCTTTAAATACAGGTGTGAATAAGGCTCATGAGGGCAGAATGAAGGTCATGAAAGGGAGGAGGGCATGATCTCAAACTAGCATCCCATTCAGAAAACCATGTCCAGTTTTGGAGATCTTAATTCCAAAAATACAAAAAGATATTTATGTAAATGAAATAGACAACTTGGACTTGGAGAAGAGCACAGAGGAAGGAAGGGAAAGGGGTGACATATTTGAAACCTTTAACCACTTCAAGTCCGGACACTTTCACCCCCTTCCTGTCCAGGCCAATTTTCAGCTTTCAGCGTTATCACACTTTGAATGAGAATGCGCGGTCATGCAACACTGTACATATATGAATGTTTTAGCATTTTTTTGAGACAGATAAAACTTTATTTTGGTGATATTTATTCACCACTGGGATTTTTATGTTTTTTGCTATATAAATGAAAAAGTCCAATAATCTTGAGAAAAAAGTGTTTTTCTTGTAACATTTTGCAAATAAATACTGTAATCTTTCTTCATAAATCTTGGCCAAAATGTATTCATCTATCTTTTTAGTATAAAAAAAAAAAAAAAACTCAGATTAGTTTATAACCAAAAATTATAATTTTTAGAAAATGTTTTACATTTTTATTAAAAATTTTTTATATTATTATTTATGTATTTTTTTTTTACATATTGTCACCCTAGCAGTATAGTGTTACCATAGTGACACTGTACTACTTGTGGGGGGTGATGAAGATTTTTTTTTTCTTTTTTGTACACTGTTTGCTTTTACACCCACAACGGCTGTAAAAGCAATCATTTCTCCTTCTCTCTGGCTGCATTCCTGTAGCCATTGAGAAATACTGTGAGAGCCGTGATTGGTCACAGCTTGTCTCATGGTGGGGGGTGATGAAGATTTTTTTTTTTTTTTTTTTTTTTACACTGATTGCTTTTACACCAAAAAAGGCTGTAAAAGCAATTATTTCTCCTTCTCTCTGACTGCATTCCTGCATCCATTGAGAAATACTGTGAGAGCTGTGATTGGTCACAGCTTGTCTCATGGTGGGGGGTGATGATGATTTTTTTTTTTTTTACACTGATTGCTTTTACACCCATAAAGGCTGTAAAAGCAATACTTTCTCCTTCTCTCTGGCTGCATTCTTGCAGACATTGAGAAATACTGTGAGAGCTGTGATTGGTCACAGCTTGTCACATGGTACAAGGCTGTTGCTAATAGCCCTGTACCATGTGATCTCTGTGATCATTCACAGATTTCACAAGTAGTAAGCAATGATGTCACCAAGTGGCATCTTGTTTAATACTGTTCATGTGATCACTGATTGGCCAATCAGTGATCACATGAATCGGGACCTCACACAGAGGTCCCATAGAGCGATTGGTGCCACGTGCTTCCAGGGACCTCATGCTTCCAAGGACCGAGCACAGGAAATGAATGCGAGGGGACGTTTCGAAATGTCAACCTGCTTTGGCACTGCTCCCGTCCGGACGTTAATCTACATGGGCCGGACGGGAAGTGGTCTATTAGGGTGTGAATAAGGCAGGCTATACAAGATTCCTTTTTTTTTTTTGTTCAACCAGTGTTTCCAGATCCACACATTCGATGTGGATGGGGGAATCACTGCTCCTGAGCTATTGTATTCTGCCACCAGGTAGTCTTCCCCACCAGCAGGATCCAATGATCAAGGTTGCTGGCTACAGCTGGTGGCACCAGTTGACCGATAGAGCAGGAGGCACTTTGAAGAGTAACATCAGAATGTGTTATATTACTGAAAGAGATGTGGGTGCTTGGAACAGACCTCCAGCAGAGGTAGTGGGTCCATCCATAGTGATTCTAAACACGTTGCGGGATAAACATAGAACAAAACAAAAATGGAACAAACGTTTGAGCATAATGGTGGTCTTTTTTCCGTTGACAGCCTTCTGTACTTTTCTGTTTGCACGCCATATGTACTCTTCGTGGAATACGGTACTGTTACACATAATTGCTCGCTGTGATTGAGTCGGTGTCGGCAGCAATAGCGGAAAGAAAAGGAGTTTTCCGTATCCAAGACTAAGTGCCATTAGTTATTTCTGTTAGTTAAATGTAGAAAACTATTGTATTTGAAGTGTAGCTTAATTATTAATGACAAGGGAGAATAAACGGAGACAGAGGGAGATGGAGCATGAGGCTAGAGAGGAGACAGAGTACAGGGCTGAGATAGGTCAAAGAAAAAAGACAGAGATGAACTCGGATAGCAAGGCTCATACTCTGGTTCTCCTGCTTGTTCTCCTCCTCTCTTCAAACACTGTGTTGATATGGGATGCCTTTTATTGATGGAAGGAGACACCTTTGGCTGCTTTCATCCAGCCTTGTCTGTAGAATGCAAATATTCGATGTTATTGTGATAGAAGTGTGTGGTTTCGCTGGAAGAGGTGTACGGAGGGAGTCCAGACTGACGCATCAATGGATATTATGAAGTCTTGTCCTTGAGTAGGAGATCAGGGTGGTGCCTGTGTGTGGGAGGTTGAAGGTGGTGTGGAGGAAGAAGTCTTACCTCATGAGGGGGTATGTTCCACTATGATGACCTACGAGCAGATGTATGGCTGGCTCCACCAGAATGAATAAACAGGATTTTCTTCCAAGAAGCTCTCACTTGGCAGCAGGAAAGATTTACAACTACTAACTACTAATGTAAATAGGGCCATACATTTGGCTTGAGGGCACCTTTTAAACTGTGATCTGTTACGTTTTGCTTCATGTTTGGTCTACTCATGTTTTTAAATGAATTCTGTGTTCCATCGTTAAAGCTCAACTCTAGGAAACTTAAAAATTCTCTCTCGCAGTGTGGCTATGTTTAGTCTATGGAAGCCTTTCTCAAACTTTTTAACATAGAGAAACCCTTGAAATAACTTTTAGGGCTCAGGGAACCCCTGAAGATGATGATTACTATATCTAGAGCTCACTGTGTATTAGTGTGATGGCACTAAATTAGATGGTATGATGGTCAGTGGGAAGAATGCTTCTTACATTGGTGGTCAGTGGGAAGAATTCTCCTTACATTGGTGGTCTTTGGGAAGAATGCTCCTTACATTGGAGGTCAGTGGGAAGAATGTTTCTTACATTGGTGGTCAGTGGGAAGAATGCTTCTTACATTGGTGATCAGTGGGAAGAATGCTCCTTACATTGGTGATCAGTGGGAAGAATGTCCCTTACATTGGTGATCAGTGGGAAGAATGTTCCTTACACTGGTGGTCAGTGGGAAGAATGCTCCTTACATTGGGTGGTCAGTGGGAAGAAGAATGCTCCTTACATTGGTGGTCAGTGAGAAGAATGCTCCTTACAATGGTGGTCAGTGGGAAGAATGCTCCTTACATTGGCGATCAGTGGGAAGAATGCTCCTTACATTGGTGATCAGTGGGAAGAATGCTCCTTACATTGGTGGTCAGTGGGAAGAATGCTCCTTACATTGGGTGGTCAGTTGGAAGAATGCTCCTTACATTGGTGATCAGTGGGAAGAATGCTCCTTACATTGGTGATCAGTGGGAAGAATGCTCCTTACATTGGTGGTCAGTGAGAAGAATGCTCCTTACAATGGTGGTCAGTGGGAAGAATGCTCCTTACATTGGTGATCAGTGGGAAGAATGCTCCTTACCAGGGGCGGACTGACAACTCATGGGGCCCCTGGGCAATAGGGGATCATGGGGCCCCTGTGTCCTTGCCCAAACTCAAAAAAGCCTATGAAAAAGGTACCAGGGGCATCTCATGGGGCCCCCTACTGACCCCGGGCCCTTGGGCAGTGCCCGAGTTTCCAAATGGTCAGTCCACCCCTGCTCCTTACATTGGTGATCAGTGGGAAGAATACTCCTTACATTGGTGGTCATTGGGAAGAATGTCCCTTACATTGGTGGTCATTGGGAAGAATGTCCCTTACAAATATCACCCAAACCGTACTTTTCGCTCTCCACACGACCTCCTACTCTCTAGCTCCCTTGTCCCCTCCTCCCATGATCGTCTCCAGGTCTTCTCCATAGCCTCCCCCATCCTCTGGAACTCTCTAGCCCAATTTATCAGACCATTGCCGACTCTACTCACTTTTAGGCGATTTCTGAAAACCTATCTCTTCAGGGAAGCCTATCCTGCCTTCAGCTAATAATGGAATCTTCTATTCCTCCTACCAGTCCATCCCCCACAGTTATTACCTTTTATACCACTAGCCCCTCCCTCTTAGATTGTAAACTCCAAGGAGCAGGGCCCTCCTAACCCTCTTGTATTAAACTGTATTGTCTCCCGTTATATTGTAAAGTGCCGAGCAAACTATTGGCACTATATAAATCCTGTATAATAATAATACATTGTTGGTCAGTGGGAAGAATGTTCCTTACATTGGTGGTCAGTGGGAAGAATGCTCCTTACATTGGAGGTCAGTGGGAAGAATGTCCCTTACATTGGTGATCAGTGGGAAGAATGGCCCTTACATTGGTGGTCAGTGGGAAGAATGCTCCTTACATTGGTGGTCAGTGGGAACAATGTCCCTCACATTGGTGGTCATTGGGAAAAACACCCTTTTTACAGATGTAGCTATAAAGATCATCATTGTCTGTGGAACATATCTGAGGCAGAAGTTGCTCATTGCTCAAGGAACCCCTAGCAACCGTTGGATGAACCATAGAGTTCAACGGAACATTTGTTGAGAAAGGCTGGGCTAGGGGGACAGTAAATGGCTTTTACTTACCCGATCCTCAACTTTCCTGACAGGCGGTGCTTGCCCATGCTCTGACATTGGACTGTTCTTGGTTGTTCTCATGTTCTGCAGAGATCTTTGGTGTTAGTGGGAACTTATCTGAGGTAGACATTGCTCATTTCTCAAGTAACCCCTAGCAACCTTTGGAGGAATCCTAGGGTTTTACTGAACCCTAGTCGAGAAAGGCTGGTCTAGGGGGATAGTAAAAGGGCTTTTACTCACCCGATCCTCCACTCCCAGGCAGAAGGTGCTTACCCATGCTGTGACAGTAGACCATTCCTTGGTGTCCTCACTTTCTACAAAGATTATCAGTGTCAGTGAGAACTTACCTGAGGTAGAAGTTGCTCACTACTTAAGGAACCCCTAGCAACCTTCTGAGGAACTATGGGTTCTATGGTACATTGGTTGAGAAAAGCTGGCCTAGGAGGACAGTAAAAGGGCTTTTACTCACCTAATTCTCCATTCCCCTGGCAGACAGAGCTTCCCAATACTCTGGCAGTGGTCTGTTCCTCGGCTTCCACACATCCATTGCAAGGCTATAGACCCTAAATCACTCTTGATGATGTCAGAGGACCTTAGATGGCCAGAGCATGGAGAACTAGCAGGGCAGAAAAGCCTGCAGGAGTAAATATGCTTTTCCAAATTCCCTAGGCTTCAATGAGCTGAATTGGACAAATCCTATCAGCCAGACAGCCATTACTTTGTAAACATTACAGCTGGAACCTAACTTCTGAGGTTTTTTCTAGTTCTCATCAATGGATCTGGCTCCTGAAAAAGATTGCACAGATTTGCTTTGAATTCCATATTAATTTGGCCACCCCTGATATATTTTGAGGCACTGGCTGGCAGGATTGTGGATAATGCATATTAGTCACCTAGATTTAGTATCTACACACGGTGACGTATTACATGGAGGAAACAGATCTTCTTAAAAAGATGTGTGTGGGTCCTAGAGCTAGAGGCTTTGTAGAGTAGTGGATAGGATAAAAACTGCCTTTCCGAGGTCCAAGTTTTAACGGGATCTAACTAATTAGTCAGCTGTCTGCAAACCTTTTTATATGTGAGCTGACTTATGCTAGATCGATCATTCTCAACCAGGGTCCTGTGGAACCCTTGGGTATTTTCAGAGGGTGCTAGGGGTTCTTCAGCTGTGGCTGACTGACCTTCCATTTTTTGGAAATATCCTATGTGTTAGCCAGTGTCTCGAAGGGTTTTGCGAGGATCCAACAGCTGGACAGCGCTGTTCGACATATCTGCACATGTACCATAATAGTGGCCCCAGAGGAAGGTAGAGCCACCAAAAGGGAACTGAAGCTCCTGTTTATTGTTTAAGACAAAACTGGGCCCTTGTTAGTAAGATTTTCCCTCTCTAATTGTCCTGGTGACCGTTATCACTGAGAAATGTGAAAGAAATCCCAGATTTTGGGTTGTCACCAGAACAGGATGAGGGGAGATCCTGACATTTATCTGGCACTCCCTTCCTCCATTCAGAGAAAGAATTATATGAAAAGAATATAGGATGAATGGAGGGGATGGAGAGCCAGCGACTCTATATCATCATAATACAAAATACGAGGGGTGGAATTTACAGCAGCCAAGCTGCAAGATCAAAGCCTACAGTGGAATGCAGCATAATACAAGGAAGATTTTTTTAGCATCCCCAGCAACTCTCTGGTTCCACTTTATGAGCTTGTCTACCAAGGTATGTTTATAAATGGCATGGTAGAAAAGTGGTTAAATCAAGCTCAGTGTTGCTGCTGAAAGATGGGCTTTCCAATAAAAGTGATCTGGGAGGCACTTATATGGGGCTCCCAAAGTGCACCCCTTCCTGCTGGTGGCACCCATGGTAGTTCCTGGGCTTTGCCGTTCCTCCGGGGAGCCCCCAAACGCGGGGAACTGCTCATACAGTGAGAGCAGGAGGGACTTAGTTTTCAGATCCTTCTAACTAATGACCCCGGACGTGTATTAAGTCACTTCCAGGGTCATGGATGTCATTCCTCGGTTAGTGTAACCAAGGATGCAGCTATGTAAGCATGATCTGTGCTTGAATAGCTGCAATGGAGTGCAGGGTGATTGGGGGTCTAATAGACCCTCAGTGTCTTCATAAAGAGGAACTGTCACCTGCCCATACCATAGTTGGGTACAATAATTTTTGGGCAATTTCAAGGCGTGCACAATTTTAAGGCTTGACATGTTTGGTATCTTCTTACTCGACATAACCCAATCTTTTATATTTTACAAAAAAAATTGGGTCCAATATTGTCCTTGTTTGCACAAAATCTCAATTTAGTGTAATTTTCTTTAAATATACGTTTGAGGAATAGGTGCACAAATAAGGTGCAGCTACCACCATTTACTTCCCAGGACCTCTGCTTTCAAAAAATATTAATCTTTTTTTTTGGGGGGGGGGGGGGGGGTTACAGTAATTTCTAGCAAAAAATTGATTTTAACATGTGTGCAAAAAAGGCAGGTGGTTAAGGCTTCACACATGTGAACACGTTCGCCCATGCAAAGTAAGGATGCTGCATATTTCGAATGACCCGGAAGTCCTGGAGCTGGGTACAGCCACCCATAGACATGAATGCCCACAATACAAGTAGCCGGCAACTCAGAAAGCTTTTTAATGGCAATCTTTATTACTGGCGCGTTTCGGCTTTGCAAAGCCTTATTCGTAGCTAAGCTATGCTATGAAAAAGGCTTTGTGAAGTGGAAACGCTTTATTTTTATGTATTGCGTATTTATGTATCCTATGTTTATGTAACCAATAAAGATTTCCATTAAGAAGCTTTCCAAGTTGCTGGCTACTTGTATTGTGGATATTTGTTGTGAGGAGTGGACGCCTCACCCAGTGCACAGGTCTCCTGTCTCCATGTGGTGAACAGAGCAGTTGGGTAAGATTTGTTTTCATGCACATGGACATGAATGGGTGAAGGCGGCTGTATGCAGCTACAGTTGCAAGAAAAAGTATGTGAACCCCTTGGGATTACGTGGAGTTTTGCATGAATTGGGCATAAAATGTGCTCTGAACGTCATCTAAGTCACAACAATAGAAGACCACAGTCTGCTGAACATAATACTACACAAACATTAGATGTTGCCATGGTTTAATTGCATATAACATGTAAACATTCACAGTGCAGGGAGGAAAAAGTATGTGAGGCCCTAGCTTAATGACTTCTCCCAGAGCTAATTGGAGCCAGGAGTGAGTCAACCTTGACTCCAATCAGTGTGATGATATTGGATGTGTTGCTGACAGCTGTCCTGCCCTTAAAAAAACACACACCTGTTTTGGGTTTACTGGTTTCAAGAAGCACTGTCTGATGTGAACCATGCCTCGCAGAAAAGAGCTCTCAGAAGACCTACGATCAAGAATTGCTGACTTGCCTGAAGCTGGAAAGGGTTACAAAAGTATCTCCAAAAGCCTTGATGTTCATGTGTCCACGGTAAGACAGACTGTCTACAAATGGAGAAAGTTTAGCACTGTTGCTACTCTCCCTAGGCGTGGTCGTCCTGTAAAAATGACTGCAAGAGCAC